AAAAACCCTCGCCCAGCGCAGAAGGAAAATCCCAGCCGGAGCAGTGGGGGTGGGGTCAGAGAAGCACCGCCCCTCTGGGCGTGCCGCCGGCCAATGGCAAAGCAAAGCGGGCGAGCGAGCGGAAGGCAGCCCTCCTTTCTGCCCAAAGCCACGCCCACTCCTGGCTTCCTTTGCCCTTGCTCCGACGGTCTAAGGCGTCCTCCTGCAGTGGCCTCCCGTTTCCCAGGGTGCCGCTCCGTAGGTTTGGGGGTGGGGTCAGAGAAGCACCGCCCCTCTGGGCGTGCCGCCGGCCAATGGCAAAGCAAAGCGGGCGAGCGAGCGGAAGGCAGCCCTCCTTTCTGCCCAAAGCCACGCCCACTCCTGGCTTCCTTTGCCCTTGCTCCGACGGTCTAAGGCGTCCTCCTGCAGTGGCCTCCCGTTTCCCAGGGTGCCGCTCCGTAGGTTCCGGCCTAGCCATGGCCGCCGCCACCGCCTCTGCCCCCGCCCCGGCGGCCTCCGAGCCCGCGGGGAAGCCGCTGCAGGGCGCCATGAAGCTGGCCAAGGGCGCCGTGGAGCTGGACGCCGCGGACCGGCCGCGGGTGGGGCTTTCTCCCAGTGGGGACCGGCCGCGGGTGAGGCTTTCTCCCAGTGGGGACGCTTGGCAGCGTCCGTGTACGTGGGGATGCGACACTCGTGTCGTGTCTGGCCCCCAGGCAGGCCTAGAGGAGGGGGGGTCGTGTCACTCTTGGAGGGGGGGAGGTTGAGCCTCCTTGCCTCCCTTCTTGGGGTCGGGGGGGGAGAAAGACCCTCCCTCTTATCCCTGACTCCTATCTGGGTTTTTTGGGGGGAGGGGTGGGGGCTGGATTGGCCTCCTTCCTCCCCCCCCCTCAAAGGATAAAAGGCGGCAGAGCCGGCCCTGCCCTTGGGCAGCTGGAGACATTCGCCTCAGGCGGCATCCTTCGGGGGGGGGGCGGCATCATGGAAAAGGGATCAAGCAGTTATCTGACTCCCCCACCCTACAGTATTTTAATTTTCACTGCCAGGGGTGGGGGGCTTTCCATCCTCCCTTGCCCAAATACCTCACCTGCTCTTGGGTGCTGTCAACCCTGCCTGGGCAGCAGGACCTTTGGGTTGCTGCTTGGCTTCAGGCAGCGAAATGCCTTGGGTCAGCCCTGAAAGATTGGGGGGGCTGTCTTTTTCTTTGCTTAATCACCTCCGCTTAACTGATCCTTCCTCCTCCTTCGGATCGCTGGGAAGGGGAAGATCCGTTCTTGCTGAACTGTGGATAAATTCCATTTTTTTCAACTTTTGTTTTTGCCATATTGCTTCCTCCCACTTTGGTTCAAGTTTCTAGTCCATAGGGTGCCAAATGTGTTGGCTGCAATCCTGAAATTTGTGTTGCATGAAAAAACATTATTAGGTCAGTGAAAAATGTGTTAAAAATGAAAAGCTACCACAGTTGTTTTGTTGTTATTGTTTACCTAACAAAGATGTTACAGTAAGATGGATTTTTAGGATGTGTCACTATTTAAAGGAGCCTGTCTTGATCTGTATTTTCTTGGGTTACAGCACCCAGAATCACCCAACCATCACTTGTAGTGACTGGCTAATGGGGCATCCTGGAAGCTGTACTCCCTCAAAATTAATTTCTCCAGGTTCTAGTTTAAGTGTGATGCTAAAATTTGTTTTGCAGTTATCCTGCCTCATCAATCGTGCAATTTTTACAGGTAGCCACTAGCCAGACAATTTTCCACTGATTGGTCTGTTGTAATTCCCCACTATTTCTTCTGTTTTTCTTGTCAGGGGGAAAAAGATCCCATGAAAGGTACTTCTGGACCAAAGGCTCCTAATGCTCGTAATTAGAAGGCATAGCGTAGCAATTCTATCTTCTTCCCCCTTTCTCTGATCGACAAAGATGGGTTTTCTCTGAAAAAGAAAAAAGGCGTAGCAATTCTACTTCCCCCTTTCTCTGATCGAAAAAGATGGGTTTTCTCTGAAAAAGAAAAAAAGATTAACAACCCATAGGAAAACCACAGGAAAGCAACACATTTTAGAAGTTAACGTGTTCTTCCACCTATTTCAACTTATTCAAGTTTAAGGCCACAATAAAAATGCAGCTTAGGAGTCTCCCTAAAGAGGAAAGGATGAGGTAGCCAAACAGGGATTTCTGCTTATTTGCACTACCAAAGTGTTGTCTGGAATGAGCTTAAAGGTTTCAGGTTTGTGGGATCTGTTTTGCGTTTGTTTGTTTGTTTTTGTTTACTAGAACTTAAAGAGGCTCTATTTGGAATCTGGTACAAAACGTTTGCACTTAAAATTCTGATCCTGGAGATTTTTTTAGCATAAGAACTGAGTGGAGAGCTCCAAGCCCTTCAGTCCAGAAAGGCTGCTAAATCAGAGGGCATGGACCACAGAGCCCATTTTCCCATCTGTCTCCCTTTGGTTGGCAGGAAGCCTACGTGGAATACCTGAAGAGCATCCACTACATTTCCCAGGTCCTGCTGGAAGAGGCAACGGCAGTGGAAGGTACGCCGGGCTTCCCCCTTCTGCTTCTTTTGTGGGACCCTCTTCCTCTTCACTGGCACAGCAAACTGGGGCCAAGTTCAGAAGAGGGCGAGAAGGATGATTAAGGGTCCGGAAACCAAGCCCTGGGAGGAAAGACTGAAAGAACTAGGCAGGTTTAGCCTTGAGGAAAGAAGAGCGAGGGGAGAGAGGATAATACTTTTCAACTACTCAAAAGGTAGTCATACACAGGAGGGGCAGGATCTGTTCTCAATCATTCCAGAGTGCAGGGCACGCAACAACGGGCTCAAGTTACAGGAGGCCAGATTTCAGCTGAATGTCAGGAAAAACATCTTAACTGTACAAGAATGGAGCCCATGACCTTAAGGGGAAGAGTGGTGAGCACTCCAGCGCTGGAGGCCTTCAAGAGAAAACGGGGCAACCCTCTGTGAGATCTGCCTTCAGCAGGGGGTCAGACTTGATGGCCTTCGAGGCCCCTTCCAACTCCATGATTCTCTGAGATTGCCGTAGGCAGGCGTGAGCAACTTTGGGGGCCCTTTCCCACCTGGCAGCCACACCAGAACAAAAGTTCATGTCCAAGTGATCCTGTAACAACTTCTGAGCAAATCTGCTGAAGGCTTTGGGTCTCCTCTTAAAAGGAGTTGGGGAAGGGGCGTGAGAAGAGAAAGCTTTTCATTTGGCGCCTTCTCCCAGTCCCTTTCCTGTAGGGTAGGTGAACTAGAGTGGGGCTGAGGAGGTGAGGTGTGGAGGATGAAACCCCTTCTTGGCAGGGGATGGGAGAAGGCGATTAGTCAGCTGGTGGTGGAAAATCCTGGAAAATTTTCTTGTTCGGGGTGGGTTTTTCTTCCGCTGGTGAGTGAGGGCTCCCCTTGTGATGGGGCTGACGACCCTGCTCTCGTGGCCTTCCTCCCTTGTAGCAGACGGGAGCGATGTGACGCCCGACACCCCCAAGATGCTGAAGGTGGCCGAGCAGTGCCTGGAGAGAGCCAAGAGCAGTGTGGCCAAACTTGGTGAGTTCTGCTCATTTGTCTTAAGCACAACATACACACATACACACAAAGCGCTGTTCCTTGGTCCTGGGGACAGCTGGATGGCCATGAGTCAGGTGCAGTTGAGTCTTGGATTTCTTGCATCTGCAGGGAGCTGGGCTAGAGGATCTTAAAGTTCGTTCCAGATCAAGGATTTGGTGACCCGATGAGGAGGGGCTCCATTTCTTGCTAGACGGGTGTCTGTTAAGCCCCTCCAGAAACCATTCTGGGGTTGAATGAGGCTCCCTCGTTTGGCGTGGGATAAAAATACTACATGGCATTGCTGGGTCCTTGGAGGCAGCGCTTGAGAAAGTAGCTCTCGTGGATCACCAGCGGCCGGAATCTCCCCCAACATTATGGCCACTCCTAATCCGGCTTCCTCAATCCCCTTTCACAAGAAGGGGTCTTCTCTGCCTTGCTCGGCCCTTTGCATTGGCCAAAAGGCCTGGCAGAATGTGGCGAGGCAGTGCTAAGACGCTCGAGTCATCTGGATAGTTTCTGCCTGAAGGCCCCTTCCCTAAACCCCCCCCCTTTTGGGATGCTCCCCCACATTGGAAAGAGTGACTTCCTGCGTGAAGAAAGCTAGCTCCTCAGGGAAAAGGTTCGGGTGTGCTCAGCAGGTCCTCAGGAGCAAGGCCTTTGGGGGGTGGCTGCGTATTTGGCCAGCGCTTGTGTTTGCCGCGTACCTACAAGGTTCGGCTTAGGTCTATGTTGAAAAGATGCCTTCTCCCGTCTAGCCAAAGCTAACGTAAACCTGGTGGCCTGCAGAAACATTGTATGATCAAAGCTATAGGATGTCTTTGCATGTTGTATACATTGCACTTGGTCTCTTTGTGCATTGTTTATGTGTTGTTGTGGTGGTTGGATACCACGCTGAGATTTTCAAATCTAAGTGGCTTAGAAACACTTCTAAATACATAAGCTCACGGTGTGTCCTGCGGGGGCCCTTATTCCATGCCGTTCCCTATACATACCTTTCTCTACACATCCAGAGTACATCTGGCGTGCCACCTGATGGGGCCTGCTAGATGTTGTCAACTGGTTTCTACTGATCAAGGCTGGCCAAACATGCTAAGAATGCCGGCTGGGTGCCTGGCAGCCTGCCTTCCGCATTGCACAATAGTTTTTGTTAGCACAGCCAGGAGTGAGGTTGGCGTGACCTGTAGCAGCGATTGATGGGCGAATCCACGTTTTCAAGTGGGCCTCTGGCCTCTGCTGTCACTACCTCTACGTGGGGACAAAGGTCTCTCACCCTCTTGGGCCCCCATTGTGTTTGTGTCAGGAAGCACGGGGCTGCTGCCGAGGGAGCAGAGTTCGGAGATTAGAAATCCCCTTGTTTACTATCTTCCACCTATCCTTTTTGTTTCAGTGCTTGAGAAATAATTAATTACTTTGCCATTGTTTGTTACAGCAATTTTAACTTGTCGGTTTCTTGATGGTATTTATGTTTTTCATTACAGTACTTATTTTTCTTGAGGATGGCAGACCCCTCAATATTAATAAAGAGCTTGAAAATTTCCGGTTAAAAGGCCTTTACATTTTTTTCTCGTTAAAACGGCCCTTCTTGTACCAGTCCAGCTTCTCTTTATGCTCTCGGTGCCAAAAGATAGTAGCTTGTTGCAGGCATAGCTTCCAAGCTTCGTCTTTCCTTGAGTGTGAATGGGTGGCTCGTACCTGCGCTGACGGCCTGCCATAAGTAACAGGGATCTCCAGACAGGAGCAGAAGATGCTATTTCGAACCGGGAGGGGTGGGGGAGTGCTTCCAAGCTCCATCCCATGGATGCAGAAAAACTCAGAAGTACTGTATAGGGAACATTATACACTGCATGGTCTCTGACTCCCTCTAGTGGCCAGTTCTAGTTAACTGCACCTTGGAAATACTGTATGTATTTCTGAGGTTTTTTGTTTTGTATTATCAAGCAGAGGATAAATGAATTAGCAGATACTGATTCTGCAGATAGGGGGCCCTACTGTATACATGAGTGGCTTTCTCATATGGTAACTCTCTTGTCTCATTTTTTTCCCTGCTTTTGTATGCAGTGGTTAAGTTTCAGACTTGCTGATGGTTGTTTCTTTCATTGTTCTTTCAATGTTCAATGCTGGAGCCTGGGTGGCCGGGATGGCTCTTCTGTTCTGGGGCTTGGAGTCCAAAATGTATTCCTCCCCCTCCCCCAAGGGTTGGTTATGGCTTGAACAGTCCTGGACCCGTCCAGCTGATGTCCTCCATCCTGGACGGTGCAGAAGGGAGAGGCGGAGAGGCCGGTGTTTGAAGGGGACTCAAGGAATGGTTTTCCTTGGAGGGGCTTCTCCTGATGCTGTGGTCCTCCTTCCACCCCAACTCTAGCGAAAGCCAAGACGAAGCTGGTGGCAGAGCGGATTTTGGGCCCCGCTCCTGCCTCTCGACACCGCAGGGTCTTCTCCGATGAAGGTGGGAAGCTGTTGCCTTTCCTGCCCCCCGAGATGTTCCAGAAGCTGCAAACTACAGAAGTGCAGAGTACCAAAAAGTAAGTGCAGGGTTTTTTTCTCCGTGGCTGTGGTGGGTCTCCAAAGGGGGATGAAGGGGTGGAATCGCGACCCCTTTGCTGCGCAGAGAAGTGGGTTTGAGAGCAGCCGGTCCAGACATCGGCTTGTTCTAGCACAGCTGGGCGTTGTGTGATTGCCTTCGGGAGAAATGCAGCCTCTTGAAGTGTCTTCTCTTCCATGGGCAGGGAGCTCAGCCCGCTGGAAGAGGCATCGCTGCAAAACCAGAAGCTGAAGGCTGCCTACGAGGCGCGGCTGGCACGGCTGAACCCCAACCAGGCCATGCAGAAGACCTCTCTGGCAAGTGGTGGTGCTGGCGGTCGTGGCGTGTGGGTTGGGGCTTTCCTGAAGAATGAGTGTTTCCATGTTTGGTGTTCTTAACATGAACCGGAATGGTGTGGTGCGATCGGGAGTTTAGGGAGGAAGGAACAACGCCCAGGGTCTCTGGTGCCTGATTTGGAAAATGGATAAGGATAGGGGAGCGATGGAGCCTGGTCAGGATCTGTGTGTGTTTTTGGGAGACGGGAGGTTTTTGCAACCCTTTCTCCTCTTCCTCGCGCTCATGGCGACCTCTGATCCACAGACCCTCTCTCTACAACGTCAGATGATGGAGAACTTGGTGATTGCCAAAGCACGGGAGGAGACAGTATCCTTTTTGGCTTCTCGTGACATGGGAGGCATCAAGGGGGGGGGGTTCTTGGGTTGTCCCTGCAGAAGGTTAGCTCACAACCATAGCTGGGGGGGGGGGAAATGACCATTATGGGCCCCGCTGGTTGCAGGTTCTTGGGTCTAGAGTGGCATAATGTCATTTTCCCAAGCTGTCTCCATTACCATTTTCCTCCTCCTCCTCCTCCTCCTCCTCCTTTAATACTCATTTTCCAACTGTTAGGATGGCTAGGGGTGGCCAGGGGTGGCATCTCCTAGCTGTGAGCTGAGATGTGGTCCAAGATCAGGTTGCTGGAGACGGGGAAAGGTGGCGCTTGAAGGCACTGGGCACGTGTTGCCTTGTAGGAAGAAGACTGAGCCATGAGAATAACCACCTCCAGCTCTTGGGAGGTTTGTCAAAGGGAAACAGAGTAAGCTTGTTACCCACTGCTCCAGAGGGTAGGATTAAATCAGTGCAAGAAAGGGGAGTTTGATTAAAGATTAAGAAACATGCCCTGACAGTCACAGCTGACTGATAGTGGCAGGAGCTCCTTCTCAGGTGTGAATTCCTGCATTGTCAGTGGGTTCAGCTCGCTGACCTCTGGATGCCTTCCAATTCTGCCACGCTGGTATTCAAGCGCTTTGGGCCGAGTGCCAGAGAGGGATCACGCCCTGCTAAAGGGCTCCTGGCTGTCTGACTGACCGAGGGCTCCTGGCAGAACCTGGGACTGGGGGAGCAGGTGGGGCGTGCAGGCGGCGTTTGGTCTCTTCAGGTTGCCCGTGTTTTTGGCTGTGCGGGACCGAGATTCTCAGGGCAAACAAAGAATGTTGACCAACGGGAAGGCCTTCCTGGAGGAACTGCAGCCGTGCAGAGAGAAAGCAGATCACAAGATGTTTGGGTTGTTTATCTGGGGTGAAGAAGGAGGTCAGGCCTGAGGGCATGAAGAAGACGCCTTGGGAAAGGCCATGAGAGAGAGGGGGGGGGTCGCTCGTTTATTATTTGTTAAGGTATCCGATTTATGTGCTGCCTTCCTGCCAAAATAAGAAAAGGACATATCGTGGCACCTTTAAGACTAATTTTTGTGGAATAAATCTGTTGGCCATCAAAGGTGCTGTGTAAAGGTTTTGCATTTTGTGACACTCCGGACCAGCATAGCAGGGCTACGTCCTTGAAAACTCCCTGCAGGGGCACTCGGGTGGCTTAATGCAGTTAGGATGCAAAACAAATTTGGATATTAAAAGAAAGCTGTGTTGTTGTTGTTTTTTAAGGTATCTGATTTATGTGCTGCCTTCCTGCCAAAACAAGAAAAGGACATATCGTGGCCCCTTTAAGACTAAGGCTTTAAAATGAATTTTTGTGGAATAAATCTGTTGGCCATTAAAGGGGCTGTGTAAAGGTTTTGCATTTTGTGCAGGGGCACTCGGGTGGCTCATTGCACGTCTTGGCAAAATGCAGTTAGGATGCAAAACAAAATTGGATATTAAAAGAAAGCTGTGTTGTTGTTGTTTTTTTAAAAAAGAAAATTGTTCAAATCCCATGAAGGAGGAATTGCGAGGCAACTGAATAGTAAATTTTTTAGATAAAACCACATTGCAATAACCTTCAATGCTTCTTCAGTTACTGAAAACCTGCCCAAAGGGAAAGGTCTTCTACCTGCTGGCGAAAGGAGGACAGGGAAGGAGTCCATCCTGGCCTGGCCTGTTAGGGGGTTAGAAGCCTGGGCGGAGACCCTGGGAAACCCTCCTGCCATGTTCTCTCTTTGCCCCATTTCCCTGGAGATGGATTCATTTTTTACTGTCTCTGGAATTCCCCTTGGAATCGCTCCTGTCTGGGTCACGGCAATGTCAAAGACCACAGGGTTGCTTGGTGTCTAGGAGGGAGTGTTTCCTCCCACACTGAGACACCCCAAAGGCCATTCCACCTGACCGGGACTCGGAGTTTGTCCCGGATGCCTCTGTGTTTACCTGCCCCGAGGAGCATGTGACCCCTAGAGAGGAAGGAGCCGCTGCACTCAGAGCCTCTGAGGCTGTGGCCCCTTGGAGAGACCGGGATGATGGGGGGCGGCAGCAGCAGCAGCAGCCTCACTACTGGAGAAGCCTTAACTCTGCTCCCCCCCCAGCTGCAGCGGAAGATGGAGGAGCGCCGCCTGCGGCTGCAGGAAGCAGCCAACAGGCGAGTAAGGCCTCTATGGGGCTTAAGGCTGGGATTGGGGCCCCCCGCCTCCCCCAGGGAGGCCTCTGCCCTCTGTTTCTTCTCTGACCCACCTCACATGCTTGCCTCTCTCTCTCTCGCTCTCTCAGGAGGTTCTCCAGCAACGCGGTGCTGACCCCGGAAGAGCAGGAGCAGCGGGCGATCTACGCGGCCATCTTGGAGTACGAACAGGATCACGTAAGGGCGAGGGCTCGTGATGTCTGGGCCAAGGACGGGTGCCATGCAAAGGGAAAGCCTCTCTTCGGGGTGGGGGATGCAGAACAGGCAGAATCCCTGCCCCAGTGGTTTCCCCCGAACGACCCTGGTTTTCTTTCTCCGCTTCCCTCAGGAGTGGCCGAGGTTGTGGAAGTCCCAGTTGAAGCGGAAACCCAGCGACCTCTCGCAGGTGCCAGAGCTGATCTCCCACCTCCTTAGGTAAGGCTGGGCTGTGTCAGGTGCAGACGCTGAGAGTCTTGCAGAAATCCTTCCTCCAAGTCGGCTGAATGGGGAGAAGATGGGCAGAGGGCAGTTCCAAGCAGCTGCGGAACTCCCTGCTGCTTGATACTCTTTAGAGAGGCCCTTGCCTGCAAACCTTCTGGAAGAGTTGGGGGTTCTCTTCTGGAGGGGGGGTTTGAGATATTCATTGGTTTGGTTATTTCACTCATATCCTCCCTTTCTTTCAAAAGTGGGACTTTTCAGATAGCTCAGGGATTTAGGTGGAGCCAGAGGTTGGGAGTTTGATTCCTCCCTGGTGCCTCCTTGTCAGGGGCTGGACTGGATGATCCATAGGGTCCCTTTTCCAGCTTTGTGGTTGTCAGATGAGGAGGATGGTGGTGGTAATGGTGGTAATGGTGGTTGTATTGCCTCAAAGCAAGATTAAATAACAATTACAGATCAAGGATAAGATAAATGTTATCATTGATTAAATTACAAGATTGAAACATAGACACAAAAAAGGGAAAGCTACTGGGCCCCCTTGATTTCTGGTGGGGGGGGGAGAAAGAGCTTTCCAGGCCCCGATTCAAGGGCTCCTACCTCCCCCCCATGTCCTTTGCCCTCCAGCTTCGCAGATCACCCCATCTGCCAGTTGCTGAAGAAGCTACAGTGCTCCGTCTACAGCCGCCTCTATCCCCTCATCAGCCGGAGCGCAGCCGACGTCCGGGTCTCCGGGAAGGTCTCCCGAGGCTTGTCCCTCTCGTCCTCGCTGGAGGCGGAGGCGATCCTCTCGCCGGCTCCCGACGGGCGGAGGCGGCTGCGGCCCTCCCAGAGCCTCCACGCCATGTTCTCCGTCCAGGAGAACAACCAGCTGAATCTTCGCCGGAGTCTCTCCACCACCCCTTTCATTGAGGACCAGAGTGTCGACGGCCGCCCCACCGGGCGGGAGAAAGACGAGCAGCTGCCCCCCTCCCCGGCCGAGAGGGAGAGCTCCTTTGAAGACCTGGAGCAGTTCTTGTCCGCCTCCGAAACCTGGCCTGGCCGCCCGGCCCGCGAGGCCCCGGCGAGGAGGAAGGCCTCTCCGCAGGAGCACCTCAAGGCCGTGGTGAAGGACATTCACAATGCCATTGGTGAGAGTCATGCGGGGGGCGGAGGGGCGGACATGGGGGACTGGTAAAGCGGAAGGGCCCGAGAAGACCCTGTCCTGCAACGTGGCCGCCAAGTCGTGGGTTCTAACCCTGCCTCGGTCTTCGCCCGCCCTGTCCGTAGGCCCTCCCGTCTGGAGGGCCACTGGGGTTGCGAAAGGCCGTCTGTGCCCTGAGGGGCTGTGCTTGGTGGCACTCTGGGTGCCCCCGAGGGCAGCCGGGCCTCCTTGCCGTCTTTGCCTTGGCCAAAGGGGAAGGCTGTGAGGCCCTCAGCGGGCATCTTTCCCCTTCCAGAAGCTCCTGCCGCTGTTCTGCCAGCCAGAGGTCCTTTGGCACACCTGTCCCATGGGTGACGAAGTCCCGGCATCTCTGAGGGGGGTGGGTGGGGGGAACTGTGGCCCTCCAGATCTTTGGGGCCTAGAACTCCTGATCCTCTCCAGCTGGCCTAACCAACGGAGAGGGGTTGCGGTGTGCAAGGAAACACTCTGGGAAGAAGGGCCACAGTTGCCCTTCCCTGCGATGATCGGTGGAAGGACGGAGGGAATGGAGGAGGTGGGGAGGAAGCGTGATGTCTGTCCCAGAATCTTGTTTCTCATTGCCCTCTCCCCATCGGTCAAGCCACTTGGGCCAAGACGACCGCTCCGAGTTATGTGCCGACTGGCCGTCCTCCGCGCCTCAAGCCTGAACCCCTTCTCTCCCCAGACAGGCTGCTCTCTCTAACACTCCTAGCCTTCGAGGGCCTCAACACGGCGGCTGCCAAGGACCAGTGCGTGGCGCGCCTCGAGGAGGCCTTCTTCGCCCCCCTGTGGGCCCCCCTCCTGGCCGTGTACAGGTAAGAGCCCCCCAGGTGCACAGAGGGCCGTGGGGATTAAAAGGCGCACGCATTTCAGCGCAGGAGGCAAAGACCGAAGTCTTGCAACCTAATGTGAAGCTAGGATGCCAAAGGCGAAGGTATTGGCCCGTGGGATGTGGCGGAACGTAGCAAAAGAGGTGCTGAGGGATGTCTGGATGAAGTCAGCGTCAGTTCCCGGGTGTGAGAGGCCAGCCTGTGCGGCCTGTCTTTCTTACCCTGGTCTCTTTCTTCCCCGGCCTCGCCTCCTGGGGTTGTATTCAGGAATGTCTACAAAGCCCGGGAAGCAGCGCTTGCCAAGTGCATGGGGCTTCACAGGAACATGCCCGCCCCGGAGATCGGCATCTCTTCCAAACTCCTCCCGCAGGGGAGCCTGCCGAGGGGAACCGGATCTTACCCTTACTGCGCGGCCGTGCAGGAGCTGACGCTGATTCCTCTCGGCACTTGTCCGCAGAAGAAGCTGGAGTGCATTGGTGAGAGGGGAAAAAAACACACACACCCTTGCAGTTTGGGAGTATCCGGGGTGGAGGATGGAGGAAAGGAATGAAGCAGCAGAAGCTGGAACACGGACACGTTACCACTCCTATATTAATGAAAACAGATTCTTTAGCAACAACAAAAACAACCCTCAGAAGTAGAAAAAGAAGTCCAGCAGCAAATTAATTAATTTTACTTTACTAAAGTAATTTACTAAAGTAAATTAAACTGCAGATTGCAGTTGTAATGAAAAACAATATTTGAGACAACAAGCTGTTATAGTAATTGGTCAATCAGAGAGTTCATTGATGCTGACTGCTTTAGTGAATTAAAGGCCGCAAATTAGCTTTTTAATGGCTCCCTTTCCTTGGTATGCGGGTAGAGAGGCTCACCCTCTCCCTGGTTTTCCTGCCCTGCAGTGCGGACCTTGCGCATCATCTGCGAATGTGCCGAGGAGTACTGTGGGGGAAGCGAAGGGCGACCCCAGACGGCCGCGTCGGCCATGTG